TGCCCGTATGCTTACTGTCCTTCCTACCTGGATTGCCCTTCCTTCCGCTCCAGTGCTAATTCCTAATTGTCATTTCAGTGTCTTTTCAGAGATTTATTCCTATCAAAAACCTTCTTCCCGTAGGCCCTCATACTTCATGCTTTACCCACCTCGAGTTTCCAGGTTTGTGACTGTCTCCTCCAGACCAGGATGCAAAGTTGTGTCTGACTCATCACTGGGTCCCTGGCATCACCCAGCTGAGAAGAACAGGTTATAAATGTTTCTGACTGTCCCTTCCTGCAGCTCTGTCTCTTCCTTGTCCCTGTTCTGTCCTGCTGTCTCTCTGCCATTTAACCAAGTTTCCTGAAACCTTGTCATGAGCTGGTCCCTCTGCATGAAATGCTATTCCTCCCTCTGTTAGCCTGGCAACCTCCTCCTCCTTCTTCAGGACCCAGCACCCACTTTGTCCTCTATGAAGTCACCCTGATGTCCTAATGCCCCAACCCTCCAGTCAGAGGTTTCTTCTCCACTTTTCAGCCCTTTCGGCACAAGAACCCTCCTTATTTACTGCCCTGGTCTCTCTCAGAGCTGTGTCTATCTGAGCCCCAGTCTATGTCCCCCAGCAGACCTAGAACCCCTCAGGGGTGGGATTCTCCAGAATCACCCAGCACAGAACGGATTACAAATGTGTGTTGAATCTCCAGTGAGATTACTTCTGCTTCTGTGTCTCTGTTTGCATGAGCTCATCCCTCTGCCTGGAATGCCGTCCCCTTTTCTGTCCATATGATGTGCTTTAAGACCTGTCACCAGGTTCTCCTCCCTTCGGCACCAGCCCCAGCACATCTCTTCCCCAACACTGGCTCCTCTGTTCCCGCATAGCCCTCCATTGTGGGCTTGTGGCTGTCTGAGCATGGATCTGCCTCTCCCATCAGGCTGGGACTCACCTTCATGGCCCCCATAGCCAGTGCATGCCAGGAACATGGGAGGATCTCAGTGAATGATGGACACAGATATGTATAAATCCATGTTTGGTAATGCTGAGTCTCTACCATCTTTCAGCTGCATTTCCGAGATCTGTGTCTGATGCGGTCCGCTGTGTGTAAATGGAAGCTTGGAGGGTGAGGGGTTTTCCTTACTGCTCCCACCACACACACAGTCCCTCCCCAGGACTGCAGAATGTCTTCACTGTGTGTTGTACACAGCCTTACTTTTGACCGGGGAACTCATTACACAGTGAATGAAGTGTGGCCATAGGCTCTCTCCTCACACCCCATCACCTAGAAGAAGCTTGTCTGATAAAACAGTGGAATGACTAAGTTCTTGTTGCCAATGCCCTTAAAGGTTGGGGTTCTGTCTCACAGGATTCAGTGCATGCTTCGAGGGTTGACTCCCCCATAACCCAAATACGTGGGTCTGAGTGTCAAGTGGTGGCAAGGTTCCTGTCACTATTACACCTAAACCTGGAATATTTGCTTCCCACCCCTAAGACTTTGAGCTCTGCTGGTTTGGAGGTCCTGGTTCCCAAGCAAAGAATGCTTCCACTAGGGGGCATAGTGACGGTTCTCCTGAATTGGAAGGTGAAACTGCCACTTAACCATTTTGGGCTCCTCATGACACCGAATCAGCAGGCAAGGAAGGAAATTTTTCTCGTTGCTGGGTGACACTGTTACACAGCAGGGCAGGAAGGCTATGTCTAGAATCCAGGGCCCTGTGCAAACTGAAGTGCTCCTAGTGTAAGTGGAATCAGATTCAACATGCCCAGCAGCCCACTGCTTTATTTTAATATGTTTTTGTTGATTTTAGAGAGAGAGAACGATGAGAGAGAAACATCATGGCTGCCTCCTGCATGCCCCCTACTGGAGATCAAGCCCGAATCCCAGGCCTGTGCCCAGACCAGGAATCCAATGGGTGACCTCTCAGTGGTGCATGGGACAATGCTCAACCAACTGAGCCAACCCAGCCAGGGCCAACACCGCACTGTTGATTCTCACTCCCTTCCATCTGTTCTTCTCTTTGGTAAATGGCACCACTATTTACCCTGTTCCTCAGGCCAGAACCTCAGAGTTGTCTTATCTTTTCTTCCCCTCACACCCCTCCACCAATGTATCAAGTCCTATCACCTCCACCAACAAAATCTGTCCTTTTCCAACCTCTCTCACTACATCTGTGTCCTCCCCCCATCATCACATGTGTGGACTAGTACAGTGGTCACCTCATAGGTCTTGGTTTCCATTCTTGCCACAGGGATTTCAAATGTAAAGCGTGTACAGAGGACAGGCTATAGGACTTCATTTATATGAAGTGCAAAAATAGGCAAAATTCACCCACGATAGAAGTCAGGGCAATGGCTACCTCCAGGGTAGGAAAGTGCCTGTGAAGTGCTATCAGGGAGGCTTAGGGGGCGGGGGCTGGAAATGTCCCGTATCTTCATCTGGGTGGAGGTTACTCAGATGTTTACTTCATGCATTTTACTCTGTGTTTTTACTCTGTGTTTATGGCTTGATGAAAAGTTATATGTAATTATAATATATAACATAGTACATACACTCTATAACATCCATACTATAATACATATATTACATTATATATATAATATACACATATTATATACATGAATATATACTTTTATATATATAGTTATGGTAGCCCCCTGCTCTAAATCCACCGATGAATTCTTTATCAGTCTTGGATCAACCAGAACAACAGACCTAGTAATATATATAATGTGTGTGTGTGTGTGTGTGTGTGTGTGTGTGTGTGTGTGTAGTGAATGTGGCGCTGGCCAGATGAGTTTGAAATTCGTAGGGTGGGCTGTCTGGAAGGGCAGGCTGGCATTCTTGGGCATGGGCTGAAGTTGCTGTCCGCAGACAAATTTCTTTTCCACGAAACCTCAGCCCTGCTCTTAAGACCTGTCAACTGATTGAATGAGGCCCAGCCGGATGATATAGGACAATCTACAAAATACCTTTGCAGTAACACTGAGATTTGTGTTTGGATGAATAATGAATGGACTATCGCGTAGCCAAGTTGACAATCAGACTGACCATCCCAGCTTTAAACCACATTTGCAATGAAATCCAAATCTGCTTTCCCCACTAGAAAGGTCAGCTCCTGGAAGGTCAGAACTTTTGCCTGTTTTGTTCAGTGCTGTAGGCCCCGCAACTAGAACAGTGCCTGGCACATAGCAGGTGCTCAATAAATGTGATGTTGAATGAGTAAAGGCACCCAGCTTCCCCTCCTGTGTCAGGGTATGGAGACATCTAGAATCCTTCTCCTCTTGACCTCACAGGAGTGTGGCAGTGTTTCTGGGATGTCCTTTGCCCCACAAGGCTGCCTCTTGAGGGAGAGTGACGTATGGGGGTCCATCCTTGTTTTGCCACTTACTCTGAAATCACACTCTCTCACAGTCTGCAAAATGAGGATGCAACCCCACTTCTTGCTTGCCTCACTGGGTCGTTGGGAGGATCAAGTGGGGGAAAGGATGTGAAAGGACCTTGAAAAGTATATGTGCAAGAGGATCAAGTTTATGTGCTTGTGTAAATGTCCTGCACACCCTGGGTTCCTTCCTACCTCCGGATCTTTGTCCAGACAGTCCCCTCCATCTTGAATGCCCTTCTTCCTACTTCTCTTTGCCAATGCCTTTTTATCCTTTAGGGGTTTGACTGAGATTTACTTCCTCCAGGAAGCCTTCCCCAGTCTCCACAGATTGGAGAATTTTGCCTGGTTCAGCTTTGCCTCAAGTGGGTTTCTGTTGAATTAATTAACACCCATGTGTTTGGGAGGCAGGGTTGTCTAGTAGGTCATGAGGCTGAGAGTCATGCTCTGGACTGTTCCTGCGCTACATGAGCAACTGCCTCCACTTCTCATTGCTCATCTGTCACCTGGGGATTGTGACAACAGCCCACCTATGCTGGGCAACTGTTGTGTCCCAGGTACTCCATGTTCAGCTCATTAAATCCTGACCACAACCACTGTGAAGTAGCTTTTGTCATTATCGGAGGTTTTATTTTCACTTCTGCCTTACAGATGAGGAAACACAGGCACAGAGAGATTAAGTAACTTGCCCAAGGTTCCCCACAGGCTAAAAGATAGAGTTAGGATTCGAACCCATTTGGCCTGGCTCCAGAGCCTGGGCTCCTCACTTGCACGATATACTGCCTCTCGAGCCTCTCATGATGATACTAATAAAGACATCATCATAGCTCCCTGCTGAAGCTGGTCCTAGGCTCCGGAGTGAGAGTACAGGGAACAGGGTCATGGGGTGCTCGAGCCTGGCTGGTGTTCAGCAAGTAGTATCTTTTTTTTCCCAATTAAAATTTTTTTTCTTTGTTTAGTTTAGAGAAAGAGGAAGGGAGAGGAAGAGAGAACATTGATTGGCTGCCTTCTGCATGCCCCCCACTGGGAATTTGGCCCACAACCTGGGCATTGCCCTGACCGGGACTCGAACTGGAGACATCTTGGTGCATGGGTCGCTGCTCAGCCACTGAGCCACACCAGCCGGGCAACTCAGCAAGCAGTATCTATGATCAGGTTTCCTCTTCTTGAAGTGGAAGATGTGGCTTTTTCTCCCCACCTGGGGATGCTCAGGACCTTGCCCAATTTCTCCCACGTCTGGCGAGCAGGTGAGGGTAGGGCGGTGGTAGGGAAATGGGAGGGAGAGAGACAGGAATGCAACTCTATCTTAAAAAATTTTTTTTAATATATTTTTTTCTTTATTGATTTGAGAAAGAGAGGAAGTGAGAGGGAGAGAGAGATAGAAACATTGATGAGAGAGAACATCGATTGGCTGCCTCCTGCATGGCCCCCTCTGGGGATTGGGCCCACAACCTGGGCATGTGCCGTGACTGGGAATCCAACCAGCAACCTCTCGGTGCATGGGTCATGCTCAACTAGTGAGCCACACTGGCTGGGCAGGAATGCAACTCTCATTTGACATCATTTTCCACATTACAGGGACTGAAGCAGTAGAGGGTGGTGCCCTGCCCGCAGCATGCTGCTCATAAAGAGGCCAGAGGGGCTGTCTAAGGGGAGAGGCCGAGGGGTCCTCCCAGAGTGCCAACCAGTAGAGGAATCATGAGGAGCAGGGCTATGATGTGAGGTGCCAGGGGAGGGGTGGTGGCCGAAGCCATGGTGAAGGGCTCGATTACGGAGCCCCTGTTGCACAGGTGCCCCTCACAGCAGAAGCCCTGGAGGTCGATGTCTGTCCAGGGGCTAGTGGTGCCCAAGATGGTGCAGGAGGGCCGGTGGCAGGTTCTGATATACACAGGGACTGAGAAATTGTCTGAGGGGGAAGAGGGAGGGGGGAGGAAAACAGTGAGGAGGGGTCAGAACTGAAGGAAGCCAGGGCCACTACTGGGTTCACAGACTTACTTCCAGTCTCCCTCCTTAGACTAGGCCCTACTCACAGGGCCAGGCCTCCTCCCCAGTCCAGGGCCGTGCCTCCTTTGGGCCGGGCGGTGCTGTCTCCTTGCAGACCCAGCCGTGCCTTCTCCCTCAGAGGAGAGCTACAGCTCTTCATTCAGGGCCATTGTCCCTGTCTGGCTGCCTGTGCCTCTACTCTCAGGCCTTCCCACCTCCCAGCGCCTCACCAACTGTCATTTCGCCATTGCCCAGGAAGCAGACGCTTTGGTCCTGGTGACACTTGACCCGTCGGGACTTCTCCGGGGTGCAGTCCTCCGGGCGGATCCCCACGCAGGCGTAGCACTCGGTGCCGCTGAGCGTCTGGGGGTTGGGCGCTGGCAAGAGAGCGTAGACTCACTCTCGGGTCCCGGTTCTCCCGTGGTCGTTCGGGTCGCGCCCTGCAGCAGCGGGGCGCCCGCCTCCCCCACCCCTCACCGTCCTGCCCACGCCCAAGCCTGCCCTGGGCACACCTGGGCTCAGATTGGGGATGGTGTCATGGGTCATGAGGTCAGCGTTGCACCAGTCGGTGGTGCAGCCGCGTATCACCGAGTAGTCGGGTGGCAGGGAGTCCTCGTTCGACTGCATGTCGCCCTCGGACGGGCCGGTCCAGCAGCCCTTCTGTACCATAGTCACCGAGGAGCGGTACCCTGTGGGCCAGAGGGCATGGGCCTGATGCGCTGCCTCCTTCCTCGCCTTCCTCCCTTCTCCTCTTCCTCCGCCATCCACCTGCCCCCTCTAGTCTCAAGTCTCTCGGTCCACCCTCCTCTCTTCTCTCTCACCTTCCTTCTCCCTCCTGCCCCTCCATTTTCTCCCTCTCTCCCGTTCGAACTCTACTCTCCTGGCCACTCCTCCCTCACCCTTTCCCCTCTCTTGTCATCTCAACCCTTTCCTCCCCTGCTCTTGTCTCCCTCCCCTCTGCCTCCTTTCTGCCCCCCTCCCACCTCTTCTTCCTTCTCCCTGGTGCCTCCTCCTCCTCCTCCACCTCATGCCCTCATCCACCTCTTTCTTTCTCTTTCTTCTCCTCCCTTTCCTCCACCTTCCCACTTCTTCCTCTGTACCGCAGGCCGACGCTCCAACCGCTGAGCCAAACCGGCCAGGGCCCCACTTCTTCCTTATCCCTCCCTAATCTCTTATCCTTTCCCTGTCCCCCACTTCTTTCTCTTCTGCACACCCTTCTCCTCTTTTTTTTTGTTTTGTTTTGTTTTGCCGCTTCCTGCCCCTCACCAGTGTCCAGCGACAAGACAGCCTCTGAGCATCCGTAGGGACAGGAGATGCTGGGAAGTTTCATGCCACTGAGGTCAAAGGGCCCAAAGTAGATGTGTTGAAAGCTGTAGCATTGCAGGGCTTGAGACACTAAGGGGAGGAGCAGGGGTGCGGTGAGAGGAACAGGCCCGGGATGCGCCTGTCCCAGGCACTCAGGGCTCCACCTTGCCCGTGACAGCCACACCGGCCAGGCTGTTCTCTGAGGGGAGACAGGCCTTGTTGCTTTGAGAGAACCCGGGTCTGCTGCCACCACTGGTCATGGCTGTTCTACCTGGTGGCAGAATAATGGCCTGTCTGCACCTGCCAGTCCAGTTTTGTTTCCCCAGGCTGTTCCAGGTCTTGACTCTCTTACAGGAAGCTCTCTAAGATTTCAGTAGGAGGAAATGATTCATTCCTGCTCTGCCTGTTCGTCTCCCAACTACACTCATGATGTTCAGTTGCACTTAAAGGCTATTAATGGAAAACAGACGTCCAGTGCAGGCCGCGGGATGTGCGATCCTGTACCACACATGCACCAGCGATATGCACACAGACCCTTCAGCACTGACATAGTGCAGAAGAGCAAAATTGACAGGCTCATGCAAATCTCACAGACACAGAGTGTCCTGAAGGCATCTATTCATACACGGAACAACTACCCTGCAGACCCTCAAATAGAAACCCCCTAGACCAAGGCACAGCACCTCACACATGCAAAATCCTACTCACAGACAGAAAAACATGTGGTTATGGAACCAATAACTCCACACAGAGACCCGGGAGCACAGAAAGTCATACCCAGAGAGAGACAAGTACAGACCCAAGTATCACAGACACACAAGTAGAGAGACCACAATTATACAGTTAGAAGTATACAAAAACATACAATTTAAAATCATAGATACAAGACACATGGAGACATAAGACCCAGGTACACAGGGCGACAGACACACATATACACAGAGATAAATACAGGCCTACTGGTCACAGAGATGCACAAATACAAAGAAATTATACAAAATTATACATGCATCTCTTTTATAAAAAAGTGAAGTAAGAGAGAAATACACCCCCAAAAAAAAGCACTTGTTCAAACACACAGACATCAAAACCTGACACAGGAACACACACAAGCACAGAGACCCACAGGATGTGCTGACACACTGACACGCACACAGGCCTGGAGGAGCATACACACCAAGTCAGTTGTGTGTGGACAGCCTCCTCCCCACCTCGTGAACTCCTTGTCTTTTTTTTTTATCCTCAACCAAGGACATTTTTCAATTTTTTGTTCAGATAGAGTGGGAGGGGGAGAGAGAGAGAGAGAGAGAGAGAGAAACATCGACGTGAAAGGGACACATCAAGTGGCTGCCACCCGCACGACCCAACCAGGGCTGGGGACAAACTGCAACTGAGGCACATGCCCTTAGCGGGAACCGAACCCGGGTCTCTCTGGACTGCAGGCCGACGCTCCAACTGCTGAGCCAAGCTGGCCAGGGCATGAACTCCTTGTCTTTATAACCACTTCAATCCCTAGGAGTATGTTCCTGTTCTTATCCAAATTGGGGAGAGGGGGTTGCCTGAGGATGGGAGAGTCCAGGCCCCCAGCCTCTCCTTCCTCAGACCCAGGAGTCCAGGCCCCCAGCCCCTCCCCCCTCAGACCAAGGAGTCCAGGCCCCCAGCCCCTCCTCCCTCAGGCCCAGGAGTCCAGGAGTCCAGGCCCCCAGCCCTCCTCCCTCAGACCCAGGAGTCCAGGCCCCCAGCCCCTCCTCCCTCAGACCCAGGGGTCCAGGCCCCCAGCCCCTCCTCCCTCAGACCCAGGAGTCCAGGCCCCCAGCCCCTCCTCCCTCAGACCCAGGAGTCCAGGCCCCCAGCCCCTCCTCCCTCAGACCCAGGAGTCCAGGCCCCCAGCCCCTCCTCCCTCAGACCCAGGAGTCCAGGCCCCCAGCCCCTCCTCCCTCAGACCCAGGAGTCCAGGCCCCCAGCCCCTCCTCCCTCAGGCCCAGGAGTCCAGGCCCCCAGCCCTCCTCCCTCAGACCCAGGAGTCCAGGTCCCTAGCCCCTCCTCCCTCAGACCCAGGGGTCCAGGCCCCCAGCCCCTCCTCCCTCAGACCAGGAGTCCAAGCCCCCAGCCCCTCCTCCCTCAGACCCAGGAGTCCGAGTCCCCACCCCCTCCTCCCTCAGACCCAGGAGTCCAGGCCCCCAGCCCCTTCCCCCTCAGACCAGGAGTCCAAGCCCCCAGCCCCTCCTCCCTCAGACCCAGGGGTCCAGGCCTCCAGCCCCTCCTCCCTCAGACCCAGGAGTCCAGGCCCCCAACTCCTCTTCCCTCACACCAGGAGTCCAGGCCCCCACCAGGCCCTTCTTGTCAATGGACTCAGAAGTCTGGGTACCTGCCAGGCAGAGCACAGCCCCATAGAGGCACAGCAGGATGGCTCTGGGGACTCCCATTGCCAGGTCGTGGAGCTGAGCAGAGACACCGTGGACAGCTCCTCCTGCTCTGATTTCTGCTGGGCTGGTTCTCCCTGCCAAGCTCCAGGCATCCCAGTTCCCCAGCCTGGCAGGATTCTTCCACCCCCGCCCTCATTCTCTAGGGCTGGTCTCCTCTTAGATATTCATGGTGGGGCCATGATGACTCTTGAGCCCTGAGGAAGGAGGGGCTGGGGGTCTGGACTCCTGGGTCTGAGGGAGGAGAGGGGATGGGGGCCTGGACTCCAGGATCTGAGGGAGGAGGGGGCTAGGGACCTGTAACCCTTAATTTTGGAGGAATCCATGTTTTGCTGGCTCTCTTTCTACCCTGTTCCCCACACTGTGTTGTGACCTGAGGTTGGCACACATGGCCTCTTGATCTCTCTTCTCTTCCTCCACCCCAACACACACAACCCACACATTCAGACACCCTCAGCCTCCAGTCCTGGGGTCATGTCTCCTGACCCAAAGGCACAAACATCACCATTTTCTGGAAGCTTCTGGGCCCCCCTCTCTCCCCACTCACCCACCAACCCTCAGCATTAAGCACCTTCCTGTCTTCCAGCCATGGTCACCCTGGATGGGGCTATTGTCTGTCTCCCCCCTCAGACAATGAACTCCTCAGGGAATATTTTCTATGTTGTATGAATAAATGAAGCAATGAATGTATGAACAGAGAGGGAGGGTGGGAGGGAGAGAATGAGGAAAAGTGAGAGAGAAAGAGAGACAGAGACCCAGAGTTACACATGGGATGTAGAAAGACAGTATGGACAAACCCAGGCATGAAGAGGGATACCCCAATGAACAGGAAGGACATGCCCACAGAGGTATTTAATAAATGTTTATTCGATTATTGAATGAATGAATTTTAAAAACTGGATGAGATAGAGACAGGCAGACACTCAGAGGGACACACTGTCCCCCAAGGACACAGACAGACACATGTTTGGGGACATCCAGATGGTGTCCCTGCAGGCAGTGGGAGCTGGGTGGGGCAGAGACCCCAGGTCAGCCCTCCTGACCTGCCTGTCTTCTGCCTGCTTGGAGGAGGTGACTTGATCTCTCTTCTCTGGGATCATACCCACTCTCTGGGCACCAGGTACATGCCGAGACCTAGAGTCATGGGCCCACAGATGGATGGGACAAAGCTGACATAATAGTGGTGACCAGGACAGCCTTAACTATCCTGAGCTTGACTAAATTTTACACAAGTTTCTTCCTGACTATAAGAATAGCCCCCCCCCCCCTTCTCTTAGAGCATTTACTTTAGAAAACTTATTGCAAATTCTTTGTCCCTTTGAAATGTAATAAATCTTCTCTCAGCCTCTTGCCAGTTTTACCACCCAGGAATGCCTTTCTCAAGGACCTGGGAGCTATCCCATGGAAAAGTCATCATCAAGGAAGATAGCACCCCTGTCTCCCAGCTCCCAGGAGTGTCGGGGCTGAGCTGTAGTAAGTGACTGTTAGCAAGCACAGATGGACTAATCACGGAGACCATCTGACTCAGGAATGACTCAGTGTGCAGGACACATCCTGTGGACTGAGCTCCCTCTGGTCATCCTCCAGCAACTTTCCTTCCACTAGCCCAGCCAGGTCTTAAAAACTTTCCCACCTTTTGTTTCCATGCGGTTGAGCTCAGTCTCTCTCCCCTGTTGTCATGGTCTTCAATAAAGTCTCCCGTGCCTGTTTAACTGTGTTTGGGGCAACTGGCCTTTGATAGTGGACCCCCAGGCACTGTGGACACTCACCAGGTTCTGGACTGTCACAGGCAGAGCCTCCCTCACCTCATCTTGCCAAATCCTCATCCCTCCCATTAGTCCTCTCTTCCCCCAGACTGTTTTGCATCCAAATTACTCTTCCCCATTCTGATTCTCCCTGATTCTCCCGTCCCTGCCCCAGGCTTTCTGTCCCAGGCCAGCCACACAGGCACAGGGTGGAGCTGAGGGTCTCTGGAAAGTGGAGGCTGGCCATGGAAGGAGGCTGGGTTTTCTCAATCCCCTAGGGAAGGTGGAGCTTTGAAGGTGTTCACAGTGGTTCACTGATCCAGAGGTTGAGGCTTGAAAGGTCGGCAGAGCAGCCCATTAGTGTGTGTGTGTATGTGTGTGTGTGTGTGTCTGTCCATGTGTGTGGCTGGGCATGTGTAATTTTGAATCTGGTCACCTTCTGGTATTTTTGGAGGCCGTGAGATGTAGGGTAGAAAGCTCCCCATTGCAAGTAGTCAAGATAGTCAAGCAGAGACTCAGTGATCTAGGTCTAGGGATCTGGGCAGGGTTCTGGCGTCCACAGAGGGTGATGTAACATGAACTTCGAGCTCCCTATGAATTCAGATTTTTTTTTTTGCAGATACTTTTTAGTAATTAAATTTTAGAAATTAAGTAATTCATTAAGAGATGGGGGAAAGTGAGGGTGTTTAGTTACAGCCATTAAGGTGCTATTTTAAAAACTTTTTACTCTAGGTATTTTCAAGCACACACACATTTGTAAACACCTCGGCTCTCAAATGACTTATTTTCCCCAGATTTGGTTTGTGTAAGTTTCCTCAATGTGTACATCACCTGTCTCCAGTTATATCACCTATTGGACAAAATCCCCAGAG